AAAAAAAAAACATGAAACCAAATTAAAAGTGATTTTCAGTCCTTTTCCTAGACATAACCATATCAGAATGAGCTGAGGTTAGAAGATAGAATAATGAGCCCTTGCCTTTTGGTCCTTGTTATAGCTTTTCGCTGTTTACTACCATGGCTTTAACTCCAGGAAGTGCAGACTGATGTACAGAACCCAAATGTAGATATGCAGGGGACCTCTGGGTAAAACTTATAGATATGAGACGCAGATCTCTAATAAAAACAAACATAAATAAAATGACCAAGCCAAAACGTCAGAGACCACTGCATTACTCCTGGGTCTCCATGCTTTCATCTTCCCCCTCTCCGCCTTCCTCCAACGCCTCATCCTCCTCTTCCTTGCGCTCTGGGGGTTTCTCATAAGCTTTTTCAGATGGGGTGACAATCACTCCATCCCATGTAGACATCTCAGTGGTGAGATCTGCAGATAAGCATCACAAACATTAGCCTCAGCGACACTGACACTCGAAGGAAACTACATAAATTAATTGAATCTGGAATAAACCTCAAACACTTACAACTAGCATCTCCTTCCAGGCCCAAGATCTTTCGGTATCCTCCATGAGAGAGAACCCTCACCAGTGTTTGGGCTGTGAAACACACCATGTCCTGCAGAAACAAATCAATCAGATTACCTGTATTTTTAACACTAAATTTGATGCATTACCTGCTGACTGAAGTCTGCATTACCTGCTGCTCCAGGGTCATGACAGTGTGCACACGGAAGTTTCCGCTTTCACAAGGATCAGTGATTCCGACAGAGCCTGGCAGGAAAAGACCTGCGGCTAGCATCTGAAGACAGCGCCTGCAACACACATGCTCATTATACCTCAAAATCCACAAGACGTTTGAAGCCCATTGTCACAAGCAAAACAAACCTGTAAGCAACGTTGAGTGGCAAGGGCTGCCTAGAGGGGTTGTTCATCACAGCAGAGTGTCCCTGTGAAGAGAGCAACATTACAGGCAAGTCAACTGGTGTTGTGCAGAATAGAGTAGATAGAAGTTAGACTCTAAAAATAATGCCCACCAGCAGATCTAGAATCCAGGGCGTGAGAGGCTCAAATCCAGAGAATCGGACTCGCAGGTCTTTCAGCAAGCGGATCAAAACTTTAACACTGAGTCAAGATAGAAACCAAAGTAAGCCACAAAACACATTTAATTCATTAAAGCCATTAAGAGAAAGTGTCCCTACGTTGACTGAGAAGCATTTTCCTCAAACCAGCGAGCGTGACGAATGGCTGCCAGAGCACTTTGCAGAACCTTGATGTCCACTGCAAAAGTAATAGGAAAAATTTTACTTTACAATTCTGGTCCACCCCGATTACAGATAATC